GCTGTGAGCTTCTTTTGCAGTTCTCTTTCTATTTGTTTGAGTTGTAGGGCTAACATTTTCATTTTGACCCATTCTTCCTTTTTGATTTTGTGCGTTTATTGCTATAAATTGACCTCTGAGCATTGCCTTTGCTGTGTTCCAAAGGTTTTGGTATGATGTGTTTTCATTCTCATTTGATTCTAGGAATTTTTTTTATTCCTTCTTGGATTTATTCTATTAATTACCCTATTAATTACCCAGTTCTTTTGAAGCAAGGGGTTAAATTCAGTTTCCACATATTTGATTTTTTTTTTTTTTCGCTTGTTCTTCTTGTTATTGATTTCTACTTCTATGGCATTGTGATCGCAAAGAATGCTTTGTATTATTTTGATGTTTTGGGTTTTATTGAGGGTAGCTTTGTGGCCTAACATGTAGACTATCCTGGAGAATATTCTATGTGCACTGGAAAAGAATGTGTACTTTGCTGCTGTTGGCTGGTGTGTTCTATATGCATGTCTATGAGGTCTAGTTGGGTTATGGCCTTTAGATCTTCTGTATCTTTGTTGAGTTTCTTTCTAGATGTTCAGTACTTTACTGAGAGTGGTGTTTTGAAGTCTCCTACTATTATTGTGGAACTATTTCTCTTTTCAGTGCTCTTAGAGTTTGTTTTCTGTATTTCAGAGCCTTATAATTTGGTGCATAGATATTTATTAAGGTTATATTTTCTTGGTGGAGTGTCCTTTTAATCGTTATATAATGTCCTTCCTTGTGTTTTATGGTGGATTTTGTCTTAAAATCTATTTCATCTGAGATTAGTATTGCCACTCCTGCTCTTTTTTGGTTACTGTTTGTTGTTATATTTTTTTCCATGCTTTGATTTTTAATATATTTATGTCTTTGTGTCTAAGATGTGTCTCTTGTAGGCAGTATACTGATGGGTTGTGGTTTTTTTTTTTTTTTTTTAATTCATTCTGCCACTCTCTGTCTTTTTACAGGTGCATTTAAACCATTTATATTCAGTGTGATTATCGATACTGAAATCTGTTGCCATCCAGTTGATTCCGACTCATAGTGACCCTACAGGACAGAGTAGAACTGCCCCATAGGGTTTCCAAGAAGTGGCTGGTGGATTCGAACTGCCAGCCTTTTGGTTAGCAGCTGAGCTCTTAACCACTGTGCCACTAGGCTGGATGAGTGGTGGGAGGGGAGGGGAGGGGCAGTGCAGTTCTGGTGTGGAGATGGGCCTGAGCATCAGGGTCACTATAAACATGGTGACAAAGCAGGGACAAGCGATAAGGGGTGGTGATGGCATATATGCCTAGGTGGGATGGAGAAAGAAACAAAAAGAGAAAGAAAGAAAGAAAAAGGGCAGCATGGTGGGAGCTGGCAGGTAGGGGCCGGTCAAACTCAGAGGCTGGCAGGAAGGAGGGGAGGTGGCATAGCAAGCTAGGTGGGAGGGAGAAAGAAAAGGAAAGGAAAGGAAAGAAAAAGAAAACAGAATAAAAAGAAAAATAAAATAAATGGCAACATGTTGGAGGCTGGCAGGTAGGGGCGGAGCAAGCCCGGGGCAGCAGCAGTGTGGTGCGCTGGTGGCATTCTATCTTTGGCAGGATTGTAAGGGCCAACAGGAATGGGGTGAGGTGGCGTACAGGGCTAGGTGGGAAGGAGGAAAACAAAGTAAAGAGTGAAAAAAATGGTGTCCCATTTGGGACTGGTAGCAGGGCTGGGGCAGACCCGGGGCCAGTGGGGAGGAGACATGGCATACAGGGTAGGTGAGAAGGAAAAAGGAAAAAAAGAAAAAAAATTGCAGCGCAGCAGGAGCTAGTGGGTGGGGGTGGGGCAGGGCGGACCCAGGCAGCTGTGGGCTGGTGGCTCTCTAAGTGTGCTGGTGTCACAGAGGCCAGAAGGAAGGGGATGGGAAGTGGTGTACGGGGCTAGGTGGGAGGGAGAAAGAAAAGAAAGGAAAAAATTGTGGCAAGGTGGGGCAGGTGAGTGGGGGCAGGGCAGACCCAGGGGCAGTGAGAAGGGAGGGAGGTGGCATATGCTGCTAGGTGGGAGGGCAAAAGAAAAGGAAAAAAAAGAGGGAATAAAAATCTGCATCATGACAGAGGGACAGGAGCTGGTTGAATGGACATGGGAAATTCCGGGTGGAAAGGAAGAGTGTGCTGTCACAGTGTAGAGAGTGCAAGTAGGGTCACAGAACAATGTATGTATAAATTTTTGTATGACAGACTAACTTAAATTGTAAACTTTCACTTAAAGCACAACAAAAAACAAACAAACAAACAAACAATCTGCATCATGGAGGGCGGGGAGGGCAGGGCAGACCCAGGGGGCTGAGGAGGGCTCTTATTGTGGACCTCTGCGGTTGGGACTGCGATATGGGGCAGAGGGGATTTCTTCCTTCTACTCACCAGAAGGGTAATGGGTATGAACATGTATTTCTCTGGTTACCAGGTACTATGTCTCTAGTTGGGGGTTCCATGAAGTTGCCTTTCCAAACTCCTCATCCGGTGTTATTGTTGGCTGGGTTTCAAGGTAGCAACACTGTGCCATGTTAGTTGGCAGGGGACCTCCACTCCATATCTCTTCTCGTTCTCTGTTTTCCATCAATTTCTTCTTCCATTTGGTGTTTGATCTAGTTCTTTATCCCTTAACTTGATGCTCAGGTTTCCAGGATTGATGATTGTATCTATTTTACTTAGTTTTTCAGGTCTTTGCTGCAGAAGGACAGCATGGCGCATCTGTCTATGGCACTGTGTTGGCTCCGCCTGATTTAATATTTTTATTCTAACTATCTTTTATTTTAGTGTCACCCTTAACTTCTGTGACTGCTAATGTTATGTGTCAATTTGATTTAAGTTATGATGCTCAGTGGTTTGGCAGACATTGGACGGATTCCTTTTCCATGATATAATGAAAAATCACCTCCAAGATGTGATCTGATATATACTCAGCCAATCAGTTATAAAAGGAGTTTCTTTGGGGATGTGGTCTGCATGCAATATATGTAGAAGTTCTGTCAAAGCTCTCTCTGGATCCTGCATCCAACTTGTCATCCTCTGACCTGCAGTTCTTGGGATGTAAGCCAGTAGCCTGTCATTTAACCCGCAGATTTTAGGATTTGCCAGCTCCTGCGACCCTATGAGTCAGCGGAAGCCTCCAGCCTGATGTCTGCCCACAGATTTGGGACTTGCCAGCCTTTACAACTATGAGAGCCATTTCCTTGAGATGTCTCTCTCTGTATATGTATATATATGCTTCACTGGTTTTGCTCCTTTAGAGAACCCAGCCTAAAACGACTTCTATCACTTTTTGCCCTTTACTTTTTCCCTTATGTCACTAAGTTTGTAAATGTTAAAGTTCAATAAACTTTTAGCTTAACTAATTTGTATCTTACCAGCTTCATAAACTTTTACCTTTGATTAAGTTTTATCTACTAGTTTTATCTTTTTTAATTAATCATTTACTTCTTAACTACATTTAATGTTATGCCTATTGCTTTTTCATTTAATAAGTGTAGAAATTGCATTTCAGGCAGTGACCATGTAGCCAAACCCCAATAAGACTCTTCTCCATATTGATTCTCTGCTATGGGCCAAGTCCGAAACCTGTACCTAAACAAGCCCTACTCCACAATCCGGTCACAGTATGAGGAATCTAATCTGCTCGGACATCTGGTTCTACATTGAGTTCTGCTCCTTTATGGGTGACCTGATATAAAATGGCCACATCAGCTCCTTATCACCTAGTTCTGTAGCACTTTTACTCAGCAAAAAGGGCCTGCCCATCTCAGGTCAGGTCAAGGTGGTTTCCAACCAGAAACAAGAGTCTATTACCACTTAAGCTAGGGAGAGCTAGTGGCTTATTCCCCCAGACATGTTGATATTAAATCTTCTGAAATTTATTCTATATCTACAGTGGCAGAGATAACTATATCAATCAGGATGGTAGAGTTCGCCAGAGCCTTACCTAGAGATAATTCTTTCAGGTTTCAAACTTTTAATGAATATGTGCTGTGTGCAAAGCACTGTGATAGACATCAGAGATAAAAAGTCAAATAAGACTCATTCTCATCTCAATGAATTTTATGCTGTAGTTGGGCGAAGAAAAAAAACAAAAAGCAAGGAAAGTAACAGTTACAATACAGTGGGATATACTGAGATTTATTATGAGAACGGAGAGGAGGGGCAACTGAATTAGTAAAACCTTCCAGGAGAGGGTGACAGGAGGTAGTCCCCCAGGACTCCACACCCTGTGGACTGCTCAGTCCCTTCCCCACCACCCCGGCACCCTAAGAACCATACACACAGGTCCTCATGGACTTGATGAAAGCCAGCTTAATGAGGGTGCCAGGCACAGAAGGGGGGTCTCTTCTGTAGATATCTGTACAGTGAGGGACAGAGGGACATGAGGAGGAGACAGAAATGAGAAAGAAATGTTATAACTCTCCCCATACACACACATCACCATCCACCCAGCCCCTGCCTTGGACACCAAAAGACAAAGGGAAGACAAGACACCCCCTTCCTCAACAACCACCACTACCACTGTCAGTCGTGAGTCCACAGAGCCCGGAGGACAAGACACAGCAGGTGTGGCTCACCCCTACCTGGGGATCAGATGTGGCTAGAGCAGGGACCATGTAGGAGCAGGGCCCACACACCAGCCATACTGGTGTCTTAGGGGAGAACAGGGAGTTCAGGGCTGAGCCCTAGAGGCCAGGGTTCCAGGCGGCTCCTCTAAGCAATTGCGCCAGTGGGGGGAAGAGTGGTCTTATTGGCTTCAGTGCAGGGACAAGAGAGGTCAGAAGGGGGACTGGCTGAAGGAAAGTGGGAGCTGAGGTTTTCTGGATGGGGTGAGGTTAACTAAAAAAAAGGGGGCAGATAAGTCCTTGGGGAGGGGAATGGAGCGAAAAGGAGGAGAGGGCTAGTGCTGGTGGTGGGGGCGGGTGTTCTCCAGGGCCCAAGGCAGCAGGCACAGGGCTGGCTCCTCCTCCCATCTCCTGGCAATACAGGGCCCTACTTATTGCCCAACAAGGCCGTCTTCATATAGACAGGAGTTGGGCGGAAGTAGCTGGACTTCATGTAGGCCGCGATCTTCTTCAGGCCCTTAGGGTGGGGAAAAGAAGGCCAGAGCTCAGGGTCTGCACCGTATCAGGACTCTAGTACTTCCCATGCAGGCACAGCCAGCTCAGGGGACCCACCATAGTCCTTCCATGTGGGGCGAGTGATGGGGCATAAGAGTAGTCCTGTGGTTCCCTGGTAAGTGAACTCTTCCAATTTCCTGTAATCTCTTATCTTAATAAGATCTCCCATCTTGGAAACCCTACACTGTGCTAGGTGCTTTATGTCCACTAGAGATTATAACACAGGATTAGAAAATCCTCCCAACTGCCCTGAGAGATATATGTTACTATTGCCATTTATCAATAGGCAAACTGAGGTGCACATTGGTTAAACACCTTCCTCCTGCTCACCGAGCCAGTCCTGGGATAGGGCTGGAATTCAGCATGGCTGTCTCTCCCCAGTCCTGGGCTGTTTCTGCTGCACTTTCTCCCTTCCCCACCTTCACAGGAGGACATCTCACTCCCTGTGGAACAAACATTCTCCTTCTGCAGAGGGAGGCCCCTGACTCAGGCCCAGCTCATCAGGATTTTCACACGGAAAAGAAGGCAGAGCAGGACAAAGGGGGTCAGAACATACCCATTACAGCCTGCAAGAGGCCAGATCTTGGCAAATGAGTCAGCAAATCTAGATGAAGATTGAAAGGGAAAGTGGACTAGCAAAGCCAGGCAGGACCAGGCTATAATTATTCCACTTGCAGGAGATGGTCCAAGCTCCTCAGCCTAATAACTGAGCCCAGTCTCACTGTGCCCCAGCCTACCTCACCTCTAGCTAAGGGGTCCAGGCCATATGACACTCAGGTGTGTGTTTTGGGCTATCATGAACAGGATAGATAATTTTTTAAAGGATTCAAAGACATCTGGAACTTCCTAAACAAATGGGCCCCAGTCCACAGATGACCGTTACAGTCATCTTAACTCTTGTGTCATCCCCAAGGTGCTCAGCTTGAACCAGTACCAGAAATTGATAAGAACTAGAGAAGAAAACAGTTCTCTCGATGGGAAGGGGTACAAGAACAAGAACTCAATGCTGAAAACCCTGTTGGGCAACAGCCTCAGGTTTTCAAATACCTGATCAGGTAGATTGGGTTGCTTTCAGATCAGCTGACCACGTGTGAAGGATGACTGGCAGTGAGGTGGGCCCCAGATTGTGTTCCCCTACAATCCAGATGGCATCACATGCCCTACACCTGTTACGGGCTGAAGTTATCCAACCACACTGAGCTCAGAGGGAGGGCTCCAGGGCAGGGCCATCTTTGCAGGCCCCACTGTCCTTGACCCAGTGCCTCAAACACAGGAGACCATCAGTGAACATGAGTTAAAATAAATGTACTGACCCATCTCAGAGATGGAAAAACCTTAAACAGGGAACCAGAAAGGGCAGAAGAATGGAGGAAAGAACACTGTCCTACCACAGAACACTTCAAGATAAAATCCTTCACAGGGGCACCCACATAAATACTCAACCACAGCACCTCTACAGACCTGGGAACTTCAGAACTTGCCCAAAATGTGGATTGGATTGGTGCAAAGCTTTCTGGAGGTGATATATAAATATTGTCTGTCTACAGAATTTACTATCAATCTTTCCTTGTCTTAGTCCTACTACTGCCAGCTACATACACACTCCTCAAATTCTACCTCATTCATACTTTCTTGGGTTGTGAAACTCAGGCAGGAAAAGGGTCTGAGCTTTCCCTTTCAGCACAGGAGGAGGATAGCCAGTGATTACTGCCCATAGAAGCTGACAGGAAGCCCGGCACAACCTGTACTGGCTCTGTGACCCTAAGCAAATTCCTTACCCCCTTCACCATAGTTTACTCATCTCTAAAATGGGGGTGACAACTCCATCTACCTTGTAGTAATATTGTGAAGATTAAATCTGGCACAATACATGTAAAATGCTTAGCACAGGTCCTGGCATAAACCAAATGCTCCATAAATGCTAGTTATTCTTATTTTTACCTCCAAAATTATGGAAAGTGTTATGGAAAAGGGAGAAGCAAAAAGGAACATCAAAGAGGAAGGGGGATCAGAGGACTCACCTCAAAGTGGGCAATGAAGTCCTTCAGGTTTGGGAACGCATCCAGGCACTTAGGCTCAAAGATACGGTTCCATTCAAGGATGTCATAAGCAAGGAAATCCACAAAGGTGATCTGCAGAAAGCCAAGGATGAGTGGATGGGAAACTCCATCATCTGGGATGAATGACAACCCTGTGTCCCTGTCTCCTTCCCCCTTTACCTTGTCCCCTGCAAACCATGGCCACTGCCCCAGGAACTGTGAGAAGAGCCTCATCTTGTCAGGGAGCCCCTCAAATATTTCAGCTTCAGCTTCTCCTGTGATGGAAAACACCTGTCACCACCCTCAGACCCCCAACTCCCTGGGCAGAGAGGCAGCTCCCCCACTGCTGTGATGACCCAGCTGGCCATGGGAGAGCCACCATCCTCCCTAGACTGCCCCGGGCCAGTGCCCAGGCTTCCATTTAATCAGCCAGCATTTATTAGACCATTCTGGGTACCAGCGCCATCTGTGGGAGGTCATAGGAAGGCAGACAGGAAAACAACATTGTCTCTGAATCTGTCACCAACTACCTCCAAGCAAACCTATTTATCAGTCAGGTCCAGGAGTACTCTGAGCACCTGGCCGAGCACTTGACTCAGATGTCGGGTGGAATCACAGAAGCAAAGAACTAACTACAAGAGCTCAAGGAAGGAAGGGGAAGTTCTAGTCCTGGGTTGGCACATGAATGGAAAAGACTTTTTAGTAGTTTCCTGAAAAGTGAGGAGAATTTGAGAGGATGAAAAAAGGAGGAGTGGAAGGCATTCTTGCAGAAACAAATACTCTCTGGTAGACACTGTACAGCTAATAATCGGGATTCATGTGGAGCTCTGTGGGTTTTAAGGGGAAGATACTGGGAAAAGAAGATAAATAAGTTGTTTAAGAACTTAATTTCCACACTGGGGAGACTGTGGACTTTATCCTAAAGTTATGGAGAACTGACTCAGAGTTTTGATCTGAGGAGATTTAGAGTTATGGAGGTCACTCTGTCAGCAGTATAGGGGACCCCTTGGAGGATCTATAGGTCTAAAGAGTTCAAATGGCACACAGGACAAGTACAGATGGGAATGCAAGAGTCACATCTCCTGGTCCAAACCCTGCCCTGGCCCAGCCCAACAGGAACTCACAAAATCAGGGCTGTAGCACACCCTGGCCAGCTCATTTCGAGAGTCCATAACCTGGTTCTCCAGGATATCCACAGGAATCTTCTCTGCTTCTGTCTCCCCACCTGTGGTCCACACAGCAGACACTCACATTCAGCATCCCACTGCAGCCAAGTCCAGGGAATGGCCGACTGGCCTCCTGTGCCCTCGCACCTGCCCCAGCCCCATTTACACAGGTTGTGCTTGCAGGCAATGTAGTGCAGGATAGCGTTAGTCTGGGTGATCTTGTGAGGCCCATCAATTAAGTAGGGCAGCTGCAATGGCAACCAAGCAGGTCTGTTGCACTACCAGCTCCCCAGCACCCCCATCCCCTGTGAAATGACAGACGGGGACTTGGCACACTGAGGACCTGGCCCATGGTACCTGCAACCCCATGGTGGGCACTAAATAAATATATGTACAGCACATGCATGATCTTGAACAGGGAACACAATGGAAAGGCAGTGAAGAGAACTAGGAGTGAGAGAGGTGGATCAGAAAGCACCTGATCTAAAACCTCCAGGCTGGGGAAAGGAGATGGAGGGAGAGACGCATTTCACTTTCCCCCACACCCTGTACCTACACTGGGAAAGTCCAGGCCCAGCCTGAGTTTCTCATTCAGCCACTGGCTTTTGTCATAGTCGGGAGCTATGGTGGAAATGAATGAAAACAAGCCTCGTTGTAGTCCAACATTCCTTCCCCAGAAACCATACCAAGAGTCATTGCAAGACCCCCCACGTGCACATACACCCGCACCCCCTCCGAGACAAGTGGATCTGGAATCTGACAGAACCACTAAGTCTCACACTCCCAGCAGTAAGGCTTACAACAGGTTTAGGCAAGCCCTAAAGGGGGAATGGATCCCAATTAATGATACGCTGTGGGGCAGCAATTCCCTCCCAGCATCCTAAGCTTGCAGGCCAGAGCTGCACAGCCAAAGAAAACCCGGGAAGGGCAGGCCACAGATCCCGGTGGTAGAGGCCTTGCAGAGGTGGGCAACAGGTGGTCAGGGCAAGGGCTGCTTGTTACCAAATCAGCATTAGTTGGCAGAAGGGCCAACCCAAGGGTGCCATTACCGTCCCCCACCGTGTACTTCTTTTCCTCATAGTTTGAATCTGTGTATTCCAGGAGCAGACGGATGGCATGACCCAGCTGAGAGAGACAGCACCGGGAAGGGGTCTTAGATGGAGGGATCCTGCCTGCCCAATTTCATCTTTTCCAAGTAAGAAGGCACCACCCTCCCCTCTCCTCACACAGGCGCGAAAACCCCACAGAGCTTGCTCCTGATGCCTCTCCTTATGCCCCACCCGCCACCCACGCAAAGGGCCTAAAGTACCCAGCCTGTAGGGAGCCAAGCTGCAGGAACGTGAATCAGGTCCAGCAAAGCCCAAGAGAGGAATCTTCTCCTAGAATCGTTCCTGGAGCTGCTCAGCACTTCCTTGCCATCGCTCCCCGGTTCCATCTGCCCAGGTGGACCCCTCACTCACCCCACGACAAAGTCATAGCCATGGTACACGTTTCCTGGAAATCCCTGGAGCCTCAACAAGGGAGCTGAGGTTCAGACTTTGTAGGGGATGCGGGGAGAGGGGGGGAAGGGGAGGAGGGCGGTGCGGCCAATCCGTGAAGCTCAGCCCCGCCCCCGCCCCGGCCCCACTGATTCTTCCGTGCATTTCCCCACCCCCACCTCCTCCACCCGACCCACAGCCCAGAGGGCAGGAGTGAATAAATTTATTTCTGCCACCAGCCCCGAAGATTCAGGTAGCTGAGGTTTGGATGCACAGAAGCAAAAGGCGCCTGGACCCCTGGACTCTTCAGTGGCTTCCTTCCTCTGCCCGCTTTCAGACCCCTTCTAGGTCTAGGGGGAGATAGCCCTGCACTTGGGGAGGCAAGCTAGAAACACAAGAAGAGTAATGCTCCTCACCTCCGTGTCTTCAGGGCCTGGCTCAGCCTTCGCTCTTCGGTACCGAGTTTCCCAGGACTCTGTGAGGCTCAGGCTGCAGGAGTCAGGCCAAAACGTGACTTGCTCTATGACCAGAGAGTTTAAATCAGCACCTATACAAGGAACAAGGACTCCTGGCCTATCAGAAAAGCTCTTCGGAGGCCTGATACTCCATGATGAGTTCTCTTTTATAGGAACAAGGTATCAGTGGATGGGAGTGACCAGCCTCGAAAGGGACAGACAATAGGAAATGTGGTCTCAGTGTTTTCTTTTCACAGACTCTTAAGGACCCTGCTCTTTGTCAGTCGTCTGGCAAAGGATTGCAAGGACCTACTGTAAATTCATCAGTTAGCATTCCAGCCCAACAAGTGAATCTAAATCCAAGAATCAGACCCTGCAATGAGGCTGCGTATGAGGTGCAGCCCCAGAAATGTCCTGCCAGCCAGCTAGATGACCCTCACATTGACCCACCCCCAGACCAGGACAGTGAGATGAGAGTGGTGGTCACAGAGGGCACGTGAGCAAGGAGGAAAGAGCATTTCATCAGAGGGGCCAGACGCCTGGCCTGCTGCTGAGGGAGTCCAGAGAGAGGTGAGGCCAGCGTGGAGCCAGGGGGACTGCCCACAGAACCAGTGTGACAGTGACACCACAGTCCCTCATTACACAGGGTGCAGACCCCCAGATGTCCAGTCCCATGGATTGTAGCCCTGGCTCTGACTCCTGACTCATGTGTGGTCTTAGATAAGACCAGCAACCCCTTCTGAGCCTTTTTCCTCACTTGTGATTTGAGACGGGTGCCTCAGGCGGCCTTTGAGGTATTCTGTGACCTGTGACTCAGGGTACAGTCTCCACAAGAACAATGTCCTACCTACCAACTTTTCTCTTTGAAGGAGAAGAGCATTTCAAAACGAAGATAACATGAGATAATTTAGCCTGTGGTTAATTTTCTTTTTGTAAAGGATATTACAAGATTTAACAGATCTATGAAAATAGATGAGTGGAACTTTGAAAAAGAAAATGGTTTACA